ACTCTTTTACTCTGAAAAATGTAGTTTGAAAATCACTCTTCTAAAAATCATGATACTTAATTGTAATAATTTTTAGATAGAAAAATTTTAAAGCGGGTATAACAACACTTTAGTAAGAATAAAACAGATTCAGAAAAGTTTCTTAATCCTTTAACTTCAAACAATATGATTTGGTTATATCCCTTCACTATGTGTTTTACATTTCTTGCAAAATGTGCATATTGATAAATTAGAGGCTATAATTAATTCACTTAATGAAATAGGATTTTAGTTCTAAAATAGTTGATATATTTTAATAATTATATGGAAGAGCTGTTGTCTCCGAAGGCTACTTGTGCTTCACAGAAATAAAATTATGCCATTGTCTTATTGAAGAATGCTTACTCGATTTTTCCCTTTCTATAAGAGAAGTTGGGAGATTAGAAAAGAGAAGGAAGGATGCATAGCTCCAATTCCATCTTGTGATTTTATTGAAATTCAGATTAAGTGTTGATAGGGTGTATTTTATTTTGCACTCTGGCAGTTTATTCTGTAATTTATTCCTGTTCACTGATTTAAATATGGAGGACAGGTCAATAAAAGTTAAGGATTATTGGGGTATTGAGAGTAGAGGTGGCAAATACACAACACCCCTTTGCTTTCCTGTGCCTATGATTAGGATGGTAAAACTGGTTCCTACTATCTTTTTTTTTTTTTTTTTTTGAGACGGAGTTTCACTCTTGTTACCCAGGCTGGAGTGGAATGGCACGATCTCGGCTCACCGCAACCTCTGCCTCCTGGGTTCAGGCAATTCTGCCTCAGCCTCCTGAGAGGTTGGGATTACAGGCACACACCACCAGGCCCAGCTAATTTTTTGTATTTTTAGTAGAGACGGGGTTTCACCATGTTGACCAGGATGGTCTCGATTTCTTGACCTCGTGATCCACCCGCCTCGGCCTCCCAAAGTGCTGGGATTACAGGCTTGAGCCACCGCACCCAGCCTCTTGCTATCATTTTTAAATTTTTTTTTTTTTTTTTTTTTTTTGAGATGGAGTTTCGCTCTTGTTGCCCAAGCTGGAGTGCAATAGCGTGACTCAGCTCACTGCAGACTCCACCTCACAGGTTCAAGTGATTCTCCTGCCTTAGCCTCCTGAGTAGCTGGGATTACAGGTGCCAGCCACCTTGCCTGGCTAATTATTTTCTATTTTTAGTAGAAAAGGTGTTTCACCATGTTATCCAGGCTGGTCTCAAACTCCTGAGCTCAGGTGATCCTCCCGCCTTGGCCTCAGAAAGTGCTGGGATTATAGCCACTGCGACCGGCCGATTTTTAATTTTTTGAGTTACTTTCTTTTGGTTCAGATTATTATTATTTTTTTAATGAGCAACTCTTCTAGTGTCATGGATACAACTTCTTTGCAGGGACATTAATTATAGCCTTTTGACCTTTGTTTCTGTTCTCTGCATTGTGTTCAGTCCTTCACGTTACATTCTTCCCGCTTGCTTTGGCTTTGTTCTTTCATGCTGGAAACTGTGATCTTTGGCTGTTCATTCAGATTTAAATATGATGCATGTAATTCTGTGTCACTGGGAATGGGCCATTTGTGTTGAGTTTCACTGTGGGATAAGGTTGCAGAGACCCGGCTTTTTCTCTGGTGCTATTTAGTTTTTTCCAAAACTAATGTACCAGACTCCTGCCTAGAGTAATATGTGTTCTCCCACTAGTGTTCATCTATTTCGTGTTTTGCTTAGTCATCCTCTTTTCACACTACAATCCCACTCTCCACTGTGCCTGATACCTAGTGTGGAGCCTCTTGTTCCATTTTTTTTTTTTTTTTTTTTAACAGAAAAACCACCTGTGGCCATGTACAGTGTCTCACACTTATAATCCCAGCACTTTGGGAGGTCGAGGTGGGCGGATCACGAGGTCAAGAGATTGAGACCAGCCTGGCCAACATGGTGAAACCCTGTCTCTACTAAATATATAAAAATTAGCTGGGCATGGTGGCATATGCCTATAGTCCCAGCTACTTGGGAGGCTGAGGCAGGAGAATAACTCAAATCTGGGAGGTGGAGGTTGCAGTGAGCCAAGATCATCCCACTGCACTCCAGCCTGGCAACAGAGAAAGACCCTATCTAAAAAAACAAAAAACACATGTCAGAGTGGAGTAGGGGTAACCCATCAGAAAAAGAACTGAGGACCGCTGCCTTCATTCCCTTTTAACCACCCCTCATGCTTTACAAACCCTGCCCTCTTGGTACCTGATACTGCAATTTCTGAACTTGTTGTAAGCCCAGTGACTTGAGCTGGTTTTCTCCTGAGTGGTGCCTTCTCTGGAAGGATCTGAAGTTCTGATTTCTGAGCACCACTTATTCCCCCCATATGCTTTCCATTTCTCACAGATTTCTTCATGTCTCTTCTCTGCTTTAATATTTCTCCAATTTGCTTTAGCCTGTGGGTTTTACCATTTAAAAATAGTTTTATTCACATTGTAGCAGTGTTTCAAGAGGAAGTAAAACAAACATATATGTGTAACCTGCCATGCTTAATGTAAGTTTCTTCCTCCAACACACTGGAACTTAAGGCCCATCTCAAGTCACACTTTTCATGAAAGCTTTTGCCTGTAACTCTGGATACCATTGATGTTTCCTGGTCCTTATCACAAAACACGAAACAAGCCTGTTTTCACTTCTTTGTCATGTGTTTGTTGCTGTAGCTATGATACAATGAACTTAATAATTTTTCTTAATGTCATCTCTTGTTTTTTTTTTTTTTGAGACGGAGTTTCACTCTTGTTGCCCAGGCTGGAGTGCAATGGCGCAATCTCGGCTCACTGCAACCTCCACCTCCTGGGTTCAAGCAATTCTCCTGCCTCAGCCTCCTGAGTAGCTGGGATTACAGGCACATGCCACCATGCCCAGCTGATTTTTGTATTCTTTTAGTAGAGATGGGGTTTCACCATGTTGACCAGGATGGTCTCGATCTCTTGACCTCGTGATCCACCCGCCTCAGCCTCCCAACATGCTAGGATTATAGGTGTGATCCACTGCACCTGGCCTGTCTCTGGTTTTTAAAAGTTTAAATCACTTACAACTTTATTATTTTTTCAGTTTTTTAAAAAGGTAATCAGTTATTTAATTAGATTATTAGGACATTTACAACACCAATTTGTGAGGATAAATTCCATTTGTTAGGGCAAACACAGATCGCAGGTAGCCCTGGAGCTGGAGAATAGCTTTGATTTTTGTTAAAATTTGTGAGTCCACAGCTTTCTGATCAATCTTGCGCTGCTCTGTTATCTCATTTCTCTTTTTCTGTGTCGAAGATCTCACCTTCCTGGTGTCTGGGCTTCCGCAGCTGCTTCTTCTTGAAGTAAGCATCAGTAAGATGTTTTGGGATTTTTACATTGCTGATATCAATTTTGGTTGAGGTGGCAATGACAGATTTCTGGTGTGTTCTTCACAGAGGAACTCGATTGAGGACCAGAGGTTTAGTCACAAGTAACAAGCCACTAGCCAGCTGCTTCAGGAAAACCACCCTCTTGCCCCTGTGGCGTCCAGTGAGGATGATCAGAATCGTCCCGGGGGTGATGCTGGCTCGGTTTTCTCACGTGCTGACTAAAGGGTTTTTGCCGTGGCTCAACAGCTTTCGAGGCACATCTTCAGTAGGATAATACCCAGGCATTTTGCAAAGTTTAAGCACCTGGGTACCGCCGTTTTTGTCACCACCAACTGGTTTTGTAACAGTTGCAATAACCTTCTCCTTCTTTTTCTTTTCAACCTTGGATTAGCCGTTGAGTACTTCTTCTTGTACACGGCCTTTCTGGAATACATGGCAGATCGGGAATGCCTGCCAATTCCTCTGACAAGAACAGGATTGCGGCTGCAATGGAGCTTCCCCTTCTTGGGCTTTTTAGCCTTGAGGTTACCCTTTTTCACTTTGCTATCAGCATCAGCCTTCTTGGCTTCAGGTTTCTTCTCTTTAGTATCCGGCTTCTCAGCTTTTTCACCTGCCATCTTGCAAGATGGGAAAGAGCTTTTTTTTTTTTTTTTTTAAGACAGGGTTTCGCCATGTTGGCCAGGCTAGTCTTGAACTCCTGACCTCAGGTGATCCTCCTGCCTCGGCTTCCCAAAGTGCTGCGATTACAGGCGTGAGCCACCACACCCAGCCACTTACAACTTTAAAAAGAACTGTATTTCAATCCCATTCAGTTTGGTTTACTCATTTTACTTATTGAACACCCATTGTGTAGGCAGCATTGGCTGGTTGTCGCAGGGGGATATCTAAAGATCTGTCTCCTAGAGGCATGTGGTCTTCTGGGAGTAACTCTGATAACCCCATGAGAGGGATGTTGGAGGGGGTGTGGCACGGAAGAGGTAGGGAAGCCTAACATTGTTTAGTCAGGGGAAACAAGTGACGAAAATTCCGTAAGTGGGATAGCTCTGAGCTTCTTCAGGTGAGGATAAGTTTAACTTCGCGAAATTCGGCGTTTTTGTAAAAGAGTAGTATATCCACCTGGTGAGTAATTTTATTTTTGACATAGTAGTTATTTGGACACGAGGCAGGCCCATAAAGAACTGCCTGGAATGGTATACATGCTTCCTAAGTGTTTGTTAAATTCACGAATGGAAAAGCTTTTTGGGATCAGACTTTTTTTTTTTTTTTTTGAGACAGAGTTTTGCTCTCGTTACCCAGGCTGGGGTACAATGGCACGGTCTCGCTCACTGCAACCTCCAACTCCTGGGTTCAAGCAATTAGTCTGCCTCAGCCTACCAAGTAGCTGGGACTACAGGTATGCACCACCATGCCCGGCTAATTTTTTTGTATTTTCAGTAGAGACCAGGTTTCACCATGTTGACCAGCATGGTCTCGATCTCTTGACTTCGTAATCCACCCGCCTCGGCCTCCCAAAGTGCTGGGATTACAGGAGTGAGCCACCGGGCCCAGCTAGACATTTTAAATATATTGCTTTCTTATATTTACTGAAAAATAAACTGAAAGTTGTTTTTTCCCCCGAATCTAGATTTTCCTTGCTGCTGCTTAACTTGGAGGAGTACTACTTTGAACAACATAGAGCCAATCACATTTGGCACAAAGACAGCCACCATGAAAGGTAAGGAAGCTTTGCGATCTCCATGGACAAACAAACCTTTCTGATACATGATATTTTTAAAGTTAACTGTGTGGTCATATAGGTGTTAACTAAAGAAAATATTAAATATTAGACTTTGAAACAATTAGAGCAAATTTTATTTAGACTTTCACTGAGGATTATAACCCAGGAGAGTCTTTTAGAGAGTTTTTGCTGTTTATTATTTTATCTTCCATGAAGTTTTTTTTATCTTTTTTCTTATTAGGGAAGTAATGAGAGAGTGTATTTAGCACTTGAAACGTTTTTCAAAGCTAAAAAGCATTTGTTCTAATTCTTCTAAGGTTGTGGATGTCTTAAGCTTGATAGGACTGCAATCCATCCCACCATTTTTTTTTGCATCCCTCTTGTAGTTATACAGTATCCTCTGCTCTCAATTATTCAGATGACAGTGTTATAAAGTAATGATTATAAACCACAAGAGTGGTATAAAATCAGCACTTTCAAAACAAAAATGCTATTTGAACTAGAAGCAATATCTGATTTCTCAATATGTTAATAACTATTACTCACTACTATAAAAACAGATTGTTTCTTTGACTTAACCTTTTGAACACTATGTACAAAAGTATGTAATGAAGTTTTTTGTTTGCTTAAAATGGCAACTTAGAATGAACTAAGATGAAAATTATTCCAGCAAAAATGTATCTGCTAATGATTTCCTTTTGGGAGGTTACTTAACAACTATAAGCCATAACTTAGAAAATTCTTTGACATTAGATAAATACATTTATTTTTTATTATTCTTCAGGTTTTATCTTTAAAGGATCAAAAACATGTGATATTTGTTTAAATACAAGCTAAGGTAAAAATTGCTTGGTTTTGGCTGGGCATGGTGGCTCACGCCTATAATGCTAGCACTTAGGGAGGCGAGGCAGGTGGATCACCTGAGGTCAGGAGTTCAAGGCCAGCCTGACCAATATGGAAAAACCCCATCTCTACTACTAAAAATATAAAATTAGCCGGGCATGGTGGCACATGCCTGTAATCCCAGCTACTCAGGAGGCTGAGGCAGGAGAATCGCTTGAATCTGGGAGACGGAGGATACAGTGAGCAGAGATTGCTCCATTGCACTTCGGCCTGGGCAACAAGAGCAAAACTCTGTCTCAAAAAAAAAAAATCACTTGTTTTTTTGTTTAGTAGCTTATGACTTATCTATTTCCTTGGCATTCAATCAAATTAGACAATTATTAATCCTTGAACACAGCACCTTGCTTTCTTATCTATGGAAGTTTGCTTATATTCTTTTCCCTAATTCTGTATCTTTTCTCCAAACATTCTTCTATCCTGTATCATAATAATGCCTTGCTTAAAATTAAATGTACTTGTTTATTACTAATACAAATACAGGGTAGCAAACTGAAACCTGTTTTTATAATTTTAAAGTAACAATTAGGGTAAAAGGATACAGCAGCCCATGTAGGTATATTTGGTAATATCTGGTAAGATTATCTATTGATCTAGCAATGTTACTTCTAGGATACTATTTCAAAGAGACACTGGCAAATACATAAATGGACATATGCACAAGGTTATTTGTCATAGCACACACCGGGAGCAGTCCTACGGGAGACTGCCTGAACTGAAAAGGAATGGCTACATGACAAAGTACTGTGCAGCTGCAGCAAGGAACGCGGTTTTTCGTAATGCTGTGAAGTGATCTCTACATGTGTTAAGTGTAAAAAGCAGGGGGAAGAATACTGTGTGTCATCAGCTACTTTTATAAGAAGGGGGCAAATTTATCATTATGTTTTTACAAATTGGAGGCATAAACTAAAAGCTAGTGGAGATGGTTATCTACACAAAAGAGGGAGGGATCAAGAGAAGAATATAGAGATGGAATACAGACTTCTCCAAATGTACCTTATTTTATAACTTTCCTTTTGGAACAATATAAATATTTTATGGATTTTTACTACACTTTATCTTAGACAAAAGGCTGAGATGCGATCTTTTGTAGATTTTTAATATAGAATTAAATTTAAAAAGAAACACTAAGGCCGGGTGTGGTGGCTCATTCCTGTAATCCCAGCACTTTGGGAGGCCAAGGCTGGTGGATCACTTGAGGCCAGGAGTTTGATATCAGTCTGGCCAAAATGGTGCCTCGTCTCTACCAAAAATACAAGAATCAGCCAGGCATGGTGTCACACACTTATAATCCCAGCTACTTGGGAGACTGCAGGAGAATTGCTTGAATTTGGGAGGCGGAAGTTGCAGTGAGCCAAGATCGCACCACTGCACTCCAGCCTGGGTGATAGGGCAAGACTCTGTCTCAAAAATAAAAATAAAAAAGATGTAATCCCAGCACTTTGGGAGGCTGAGGCGGGTGGGTCACGAGGTCAAGAGATTGAGACCATCTCCTGGTCAACGTGGTGAAACCCCGTCTCTACTAAAAATACAAAAAATTAGCTGGGTGGCGCGTGCCTGTAATCCCAGCTACTCAGAAGGCTGAGGCAGGAGAATTGTCTGAACCCAGGAGGCGGAGGTTGCGGTGAGCCGAGATTGCGCCATTGCACTCCAGCCTGGGTAACAAGAGCGAAACTCCGTCTCAAAAAATAAATAAATAAATAAATAATAAAAAAGAAACAGTAAACCCTAAAAATCAAAGTGAAACAGTCCAGGTGAGGTGGTTCACATTTGTAATCCCAGCACTTTGTTAAGCCAAGGCAGTATGAACTCTTGAGGCCAGACTTTGAGACCAGCCTGGTCAACATAGCGAACCTCTTTTTCTATTTATTACAATTAATGTTAAAAAAAGAAAAGATAAGAAACGGATGAATTTAATTATAAAGTTGGAAAATTAGCCACAGAAAATTATTTTAGTCAACTTTACAATATAATAATTTGACTGTGTATCTCTAGTAAGATGAAAAAGAATTGCAAAGAAGTTGAAATAGAATGCAAAGTAATTGTAAACTTTCCAGTAGCAATATATATTTTTTTTTTTAAAAGATGGGGTTTCACCATGATGGCCAGACTGGTCTTGAACTCCTGACCTCAGGTGATCCACCCACCGCAGCCTCCCAAAGTGCTAGGATTACAGGCGTGAGTCACTGCACTCGGCCAGCAATATTGTCATTAATAGTATAATATTAGTATTATTATTTTGATACTATTTTATACACATATTTACAAATATTTATTTAATTGGATAAAACAATTGAATAAATATGGCCAAGACTCAGATTTTCCAGTGTAAAAGAAAAGAGATATACATATAATATTAAAGAAATAAAGCCTTTTTCATGCACTTTCCTCCTTTTTTCTGCTTTATTGAGATAGATTTGACAAATAAAAGTCGTATATATTTGGGGTATACAATGTGATGTTTTGATACACATACACATTGTGAAGTGATGACAGTCAAGCTAATTATCATATCCATCACCTCACAGTTACTTCCTTTTGTGTGCGTGGGAGTAAGAACACATAAGTTCTATTCTCTGAGCCACTTTCAAGTGTACAGTACGGTGTGGACTGTGGTCAGTAGCTCTACATTAAATTTGCAGAACGTATCCTGGATAATGGACAGTTTGTGCACTTTGCCCAGCATCTCCCTATTCCTTCCACCCCCACCCCCTTTAAGTTTGTGAAGTTAAACTTATTCTTGCCTGCACAAAGCTCAGAGCTTTCCCACTTAAGGAATTTTCTTAAGTTCCATTCTACTCTCTTCTTTGAATTCAACTGTTTTAGATTCTACATGAAATCATGTAGGATTTGTCCTTCGTGCCTGGCTTATTTTACTTAGCATAATGTCCCCCAAGTCCATCCACATGGTCACAAGTAACAGGACTTCCTTCTTTTCTGAGACTGAATAATACTACATTGTGTGTATGCATGTAAATTTGTATATCTTATATATTCATATATATCATTTTTTAAATTATTTCAAGTATCAATGGACACTTAGATTGATCCCAAATCTTGGCTGTAATGAACATGGGAGTCCAGATACATCTTCAACATACTGGTTCCATTTGCTTTTAATGTATACCCAGAAGTGGCATTGCTGGATTGTATGGTAGTTCCATTTTCAGTTTTTTGAGGAACTTCTATACTGTTTTCTTTAATGGCTAAACCAATTCACATTCCCACCAGCATTGTATAAGGGTTCTTTTTTCTCCATCCTCTCGCCAACAACTCTTGTCTTTTGTGTTTTGGCAATAGCCATCCTAACAGGTCTGAGGCAATAGCTGAATGTGGTTTTGAGTTGGTTTTCTCTGATGAGTAAGGCTGCCGAAGGATCTTTTCATCTGCTTATTGGCCATTTGTATGTCTTCTTTTGAGAATGTCTATTCAGGTCCTTTGCCTGTCTTTTAATAGGTCATTTGTTTTCTTATTATACTATCAAGTTGTTTGAGTTTCTTATATATTTCGGATATTATTCTTATATATTATATATATTATCCCCTTATCAGAGGTATGATTTTCAAATATTTTCTCCCAGATTATCTTTTGACCTTGTTAATTATTTTCTTTGCTGTACAGAAGCTTTTTTTGTTTTATGTAAGCCCATTTGTCTATTTTTGTTTATATTGACTGTGCTTTTGGGGTCGTATCCAAAATGTCATTGCCCAGACCAATGTGGAGATGCTTTTCCCTATTTTTTCTTTTCGCAGTTTTACAATTTCAGGGCTTAACATTTAAGTCTTCAATTCATTTCAAGTAGATTTTTATGTATGGGATGAGGTAAGGGTTCACTTTTATTTTTTTCCATGGGGATGCTAGTTTTCTCAACAACATTTATTAAAGAAACTATCCTTTCTTCATTTGTGTGTTTTTGGCATCTTTGTGGATGATTAGTTGACTGCAAATATGTGGATTTATTTCTGGGTTCTCTATTGTGTTCCATTGATCTATATGCAGTATCATGCTGTTTTGATTAATGTAGCTTTTTAATATATTTTGAAACCAAGTAGTGTCATGCCACCAGTTTTGTTCTTCTTGTTCGGGAATACTTTGGA